TTTTTAAAAAACCATCCCGACCTTAGCTCTTATCTAAAAATTTTTCTAATAATTAAAAACCCTTTTATAAAAAACACCCTATCTAAGCTACATACATACTAATGTTTCTGAAAGTTTCAAGGTCGTAGCACCTCTCTATGAGAAGATATAGGTGCGGGGAAACTTTTGTCAGGCACTGTAATAAAATTAAAACATTGACAAAACACATTGAAAGCTTGTTATGTTCAGTCCACACTATACTAAAAATCTAAATGTGATTTTTTTTTTTTATTTAATAAACCATACCATATATATAAAATGTTTTTTTAATCTTACAAACATTAAAAACGTCTGATATTCGTTCACGACCGCTGCAGCATTATCAAGGCATACAATTTATAACAAAAAAAAATCATTTTAGAAAAATTCTATAAACCAGATAAAGCCTGTCACCTTTATCATTAACATCTGATTATTTAACGACATAAAATAAGCTCACCTTTAAGCAGCTTTTTTTGTCATGAAATAAAAAAAATAATGTAATGAATCACCTACGTTAGAATAGTAAATCATGAAATATTGTTGATAAGAAAATAACTTTAAGTTCGAATAATCATTGCATCTTACCCAATTTTTTAAAATTAATGTCCCAGCATGATCTTTCTAAATATTTACGGCGAAAGTGCGGTTGGCCAAATGTTATATAAATGAACTATTGAATGTTACCCTTATTAAATACCTAGAAACTTATTTTGAACAAAAAAACCTTGAATTATAAAATACCTTTCCACCGATTTTCAACACTCTAATGTAAAAAAAAAAAAAAAAGTATAAATATTAAATATCTTGGCTCCTATTAAAATACCACTAAATGCCAAAATAATCTTTCAAAACTTATTAGAATAATCATGCAGTTAAGTTACCTCACGACTTGATCAACACCTTTTTTAACATTCTCGATAGCTTCTAGTTTTGGATCCCATACATCACCTTCATCACCCATCAATGCATCCATTGTACCTAATCATCATGCGATAAACTGTAAAAAAAATGCGTATATAAAGCCCATTTTTGTAAAAAAAGTAAGTTCTCTACCTTTATCAATAATCACGTCAAATGTCTCCTCCGGAAATGTTAGATCTCGAATATCCATTACCAACCCTAATATATTATTATTATAATAATAATCGCAAACTGTAAGTAAAAAAACCAGTCGTAAAAGCACTTTTAATGGAGATTTTAATATTATTTACATGACATTCCAACTTTATCAATGCACCGATTTCGCATATTTTCAATTACAATTTCCGAAAAGTCAACGTTTGTTATATTGTGATATCCCGCATCATACATGTCCTCAGATAGTGCTAATTTAATATCAGTGACATTTAAAATTCATTTGAAATCCTTCTTTTATACAAAGCAATTATCATTACTAAAAATACGAACTAGAATTTCCACAACCTAACATCAAAATTGAAACACCTTTATTTTGTAAATGTTCATCAAACAAGGGCTTTAAATCTTTATATGTTTTAAACCAATCGAAAGAAACATCTGATGGTTCTCTACAGAAGATTATCGAAAAAAAGATTAATGAATTAACAGAAAAAAAAAGAAATCATTTAAAAAATCACTCGTTTACTTAGAATAACGTTGATTCCAATACTCTCGAGTTCCATAAGAAGAAACATCATCAGGAATTACATTGACTGTTTAAAATTTAAACATGGTTAGCTAACCTAATATTATTATACGTATAAAAATCAATTTTTACTATATACTTGCAATTTGAAGTCATCGGTGATAATGCACTATTTTTAGAATGTACATTTTCATTCGGCGACACTCATATAGTGTCACGGGTTAAAAGTGAGATTTCCGAAACGGAAAGTCTATGGACTAGGGTTCAGGGCACGGGAAAAAAATTGGGCATGCCCTTTTTAAATCATGTGATTAATATATAGTTCACAACTTCTTAAAAATCTCGCATGTTGATTTAGTAT